TGGGTCCGGATTAACTTGTGAAATATATGTTCTCTTGGCCTTGTCTGCATTCAGACTAAAAGCATTCTAGCAACAACTTGGTAGATTGGTGGTTGCTCAAACATGTTTTTTTAGCATAGTTTGCCTTACCATCATGGACAAGAATATTTTTTTGAAAACCATACAGTGAATGTATTACAAAACCATGCTTTAGAGTATTTAGGGTGAATGGTGAAGGCACAGGATGAAAAGCCAAGAGACCCAGTTTCTATTTCCAGTTCTGCCATAGATTGTGTGACCTTAGAGAAGTCACTTCATCTCTCTGTACCTCAGTTTCCCTTCTGTAAAATGGGGATGATAATAGTAGTAATCACCTTCACAGGGGTGTTGTGTAGCTTAATTAATTAAGGTTTGTAAAGTGCTTTGAGATCCTTGAGTAAAAGGCACTATGAATGCAAAGTATTTAGTATTTATATTATCATATTATAGCAATCTTACTAGCGTGGGTCTAATTTAAAAAAAAAGACTGTCTACAATAGGAAAACCATACTAGAATACTTCTAGTAACAAGAATGTTATTCGCATGGTTTCAACCCCAGTGTGGACAAAGCCTAGAGTTCTCAGACTAAGTGATTGTAGGTGGTGAAAACTGATGTCTTTTCAATAATGTTTTCTGACCCAGGAGTTACAAGTGGCTCCAGGAAAAGCTAAATTCAAGAGTTTTACAAGTGCCTCCAAAAAGGGTTAGGTATGACCCAACAGTGTGTTTTCCTCAAAAGATCTGAAAAAAGCAGGAGTAAGATAGTCTTTTGCAAACATAGATTCCTAAAATAGAAAGGGTACTGAAGGTCAGAATTCCAGTTAGCACCTAACTTCCATTGACATAGATTGGAACTATGCACAAGCAAAAGAAAAAAACATGTCCTATAGTCTGGAAGCCCTGAGCTCTGACAGATTCATGTTAAGAATTTTGTTCTTATGGGGACCAAAAACTTCTGCTGGTCACGTATAAGATGAAAGCCCCTGCAACCACCACTTGTTATGAAGCACCTATAATAGATTATAGTAGAAGGTAGAAAAAAAGTCAGAAAATGGAAGCACAGAAGATCAAGGAATCAGTTTTTCCACTGAAGAAAGATGCCCTTAGGCTCGGCCTAGGAAGTTACATTATTAGAGGGGCATAGCAGCCCAACAGTTCCTTATTATTTTCTGACCTGAATCAAAATAGTTTGGAGACAGGTGCAATGCCCCCTGGAAAGACAGGGGAGGGTGACAGACATGAAGTAAGTGTGTCCATTAATCTTACTACAGAAATGTTCCCTTTCGAGAGCAAAAATCATGTGTTTCATTAAGCGTCAATAATTCTAGCAAGGATCTTTGATGGATCAAATTGTTAGAATTTAATTATCAAACCAAAAAGAACATTTGTGCTGTGATCTCTGACAAATTCTATCTTATTTCAGGGGAGGGTGAATGGAATAAAGCAGGATTTTTATCTTTTGCATAATTTTGTATTAAAGTATTTTAAAAATAGCCTGGAAGGTTTAATTAATAAATTCTGTTGCTAATAAAAGAGACTGTTTGATGACATAGGAGGATTTTGTCTACATGTGAAAACCCAAGAATGTCACTTAATTATGGATTTCATGATGCTGGTAAATAAATATGTATGAGTTTGGAGAAAATACTCCACAAAGTCCATATAAAATTATTCCAACTAGTGTCGTGCTACAACAATATAAAATAATAATAAATAATAATAATAATGTGCCATTAGTTCCCAATGAATGACTGAAAATTATGCAATCTCCAGTGCATAGAAAGGCTTTTAGATCCTGCATTTTGCTGTTTGCCTACATTAAGGGTACCTGCAAGTCCTTCTTTTGACCTGGAAAGCTCACAAGCAGTTTGAGTTTCCCATCTGATTTTCCCTATTAGGCCATTCTTTGTGGAGTGGGTTTGCTTGTTGTGTAGTACCATAAGACTATGACTGTAACCTCTGCCTGGGTAGACAGTTGCTTGACAAATCTTTTTAAGGGTAAGCAATTTTAGGTGGTTCCTTATACCCAAGGATCTACCCTTGAAAGGCTCAAATCTCTCTTACTACACAAAATCTGTTTGCCAGAAGCTGGGAATGGGCAACATGGGATGGATCACTTGGTGATTACCTGTTCTGTTCATTCCCTCTGGGGCACCTGGCATTGGCCACTGTTGGAAGACAGGATACTCAGCTAGATGGACATTTGGTCTGACCCAGTATGGCCATTCTTATGTCCTTATGTCTGAGTAAACAGGCTGTATGCTCAACTGCTCTACAGGGGGTAAGGAGACAGAAACTTGCCATCCCAGAGCCACTCTCTGGCTGCTACAGCCACACAGGGACTACTGTAATCACCCCTATGAAGAAGCAGTTTGGCTGATAGATCTGTGAAGTCTCTCTTGGCTTGTCATAACTCCCTCTCCATGCTATCGTGGATGGAGCCGCACAAAGCATAGCCCAGAGAACATAGCCCCCGCATGAGTTCGCTCCTCCTTCACTTACAGTGGAATTGCATTGGTTCTGCTGCCTTTTAAGCCCTCCACACCATATCTCCGTCTTGGATTTCTAGGATTTGCCCTTACCCTTCTAGGAATGGTACTAACTCATCTTAATGGGATGACTGTGCAAAGAACAAGATTTGCCCTATCTGTTTAAGAGATTCTGCTGTCCTGGTAAGGAATTCTGCACCATGTAATATAATAGCATTTCTATTAATAACATTGGTACAAACAACAAGAAATCCTCCAGAATAATATAATCTAAAGTTTTAATAATATAACAACAAACTGAAGTGGTTTGTGTGCATGTCTGTGTCCGCACTGGAAATGAGAACTGTTCAGCTGAGTATTACAGGCCCCACTGATAACAGCTAAAATAGTCTCTTTCAGCTTAAGTGGTAGTAGCCCCTGTTTCTGGAGTATGATGATCTAAGTTCTATTCCCCTTGTTGCCATGAAGTTCTATTGGGCTATGGTATGCAGCACCGTGACAAGTATGACATTCTAAATGGCCACGAAGTTTTTACAAAAATAATACTTTGCAGTTCTATAATCCCTTCCAATCAAGATCTCAAATCACTTTATAAACATGAATGAAGCCTCATACATCCCTACCAGGTAGGTAGGTATCACTACCCCTGTTTTATAGATTGTTAAACTAAGGCACAGAGGTGCTAAGGGGGAGCTTTTCAAAGGCACAAATAAGAGTTAGATGCCTATCTAATGAGAGTTAGGCACTTAACTGCCATTTGTGCCTTTGATAATCTTCTCATAAGTGATTTACCCCAATTCACATGGAAAGTCCTTGGCAGAGCCAAGAACAGAACTCAGATCTCCTGAGCCTTCCTTAGTCCTGAGTTTTTATCAAAAGACCATCCTACCCTCCATGGGCCAGTTTCTGGAGCTGTTGCACATTTTAAAGATAGCAATCAAGCTGATTTCCCTTTAAGAGAAATGACATGACCGCAAAGCAAGGGCAAAATTCTCTTCTCAGATGTGTGTGACAGGTCTCGGCTCCTATATGTGCAGATCTCCCTTTGACATCAGTGTTAGAATAGACAACAAGATTTTTCCAAAGAGGAACGCTGAGGTGGCTATGGCAGCTATTCCAATGGAGTCTTCGGTGACAAGCCACAAAAATAAATTAAGAAACCTATTGAGCCTGATTCTGATCCCTTACTCCCAGGTTCACTGATATTGGAATCTGGCCAACTGTCTCTCTTCTACTTACACTGTCAAGGAGGGAGACAGCTGCTAAGTGTAGGAACAATGATCCAGTTCTAGAAATCTCCTGACTGCAACTCTATCCTTTGTATTCACAGTCTTTGGGTCTCTGTGGTAGTGAAATCCTACCAGCTGCTGATCCAAGAATACGCACTGCCTACCAATAAAAATTATAAAGAAAGAAGTCAACTAACTTAATTATTCAAATTCAAAATCACATTTAATCACTGATAATTTTTCTACTGGGTTTATATAACTGTTTCATCTTAATATTTTAAGCATTTTGCTGTTTAAGCTATAAGCTACTTAAAGGGAGAGAAAAAAAATCCTTGACATATTACCATGAAATCAAAGAGCAAGCTAACTGGAAAAAAATAGTTACTATATTTAAACTGTATTATCCTATCAGAGAACTGCAGTTCTCAAACCATTCCACTTTGGTAAAGCATTTTTGTGGCATTTTAATATGTTTTGCAGATTTTAAGAGACTGTAACTGTACAACATTTTTAATAACAGTAATTTAAGAGGAATAAAGTAGTACAGTGTGGGGTCAATGCCCTTGTTTTTCACTCACTTGACTTTGAATCTAACCCACTAAACAAGTGAGATGAGTTTGGTGGTCTCTACCGAGGCTCTAGTGGGCAATTAGCCAGTCTGCAAAAATCATCACATAACTGGCATAGTTTAACACAGTGGTAAAACACTGCCTATGTCTGCTTAGGAGAGGCCCAGCCTAAAATAGAAAGGGTATTGCAGGTCATGATTCAGGTGCATTGGCTGAGCTCACTAGGGATTTGTGTAGTACCCTCCTGCTTTATGCTTAGCTCCAGCCAAAGCTATTAGTCTCTTTATTTGACATTTGAGCACCACAATGCACAATGGTTTTATGTATGGAAAGGACCATCCTTAATATAACCAGCAACATCACTGCAACTCTGCCTTGCAGCAATGTGGATGCGTGAATTTCAAGGGCCAGATCATGCAGTCCTCACTCAGGCCAAATTCCCATTTACTTCAATTAGTAAAGACTGCAGGAGTAGTTTTTGTGTTGCTGCCCTATTCCTAGGCTTCTTCTCCTAATATATAACCGTAAAAAAGATAGTGGGAAAAATTCATGCATGGTGTACTTCCATTAAATCAATGGAATTTCAACAAGGGTTAACAGCACATTTAGTTGTGTTCCTTTTTAAGGTATCACTCTGACTACACACTTTAACTTCACTTTTTGTACATGGTGAAATAAATCAGTTTCCCTTTACCTTCTAGATGGACGGTGTTTTGCTCTGCACCTGCTGGATGAATTAATCCGCTTGAAATCTTCACGTTTGCACTGCTTAGGGAGCGCTTAGGTGCCTCTCCACCGACTTGGGCTAAGATCATCTTCTACCATGTGAGGGGGATGCATTTCTTGGGAAACTTCATGAGGTCCCAAAGTATCATCCTTTCAGAAGCTGCACCTCAAATGTGCAGCTATCCCAGGATCTCCATGGATTTGGGGTGATCTGCACAGACAGCCCCTCCATACTATTCTCTGGAACCCCCGGTGCTATTTGTTCCCTTGCCACATGTGTACCTTGCCCATCCCCCACACATGTAAAGGGGAAGACAGAGGGTGAATAGATTGGAAATTTGGTCATTAAAGCTGCAGTGAACCACATTGAATTCAGTAGCTTTAGAGAAAGAGGATGACACACACAGCCACCATCAACCCATTCATGCCTCCCAAAACTCACAGAGCCCCAACAGCACACAGTTTGCACCATGGAACTTCCATTGGATCAAAGGAAGGCAGTATGAGGTGATGCCACTTGGGCTTTATTATCAGTTTTACATATATCTGTTTCCCAAAGGTGCAAAAGAAATGGGGGCAGGGGACGAGGGGGAACGACATACCAAGTCCTGCAGTCATGTTGAATGAGGGATATCAACAGGACAGGTTAGGGTGAGCAAATTATACTTGAAACTAGTGAGTCCTACAAGATTCAGCATCACCTAGCAGGGCTAACACCTGTTAACAGGTATGGTCCTCAGGAGCCCACTGCTATCCTGTTATACTGCCCTTGCCATGTTTCAGGTTCATTAACAGATGCTCACATGAGCTTTTTGGAGAAACAAACACACAAAAGGTAGTCTTATAACTATGTGTAGAGTTATTTAACAGGGAGGAATCATTATGAAGTATGATCTGATTTTATTTTTAATATTTGTTTATTGGGGACATTGTCACTGATGTTATCTTTTATTGGCTCACTTGAAAGGGAGGTAAGAAAATGAAGTGCAATCTTGTCAGAGGCTTTGAAGTGTTTCTGATGTGTGAAGGTGAGTGTTACATGTTTGTGTGTATATAGTGTTTTGAGTGTACCTGTCATTCGTGTGTATATATATGACAGGTACACTCAACACACCAGATATATATAGTACTATATATAGAAAGTATTTGTGGTCTGCGCCATGTGTCAGATTGATATATGCTGGCATGCTGTGTTGGTGTGAGGTGTATTGTGTTGGTGAATTGGTCAGTGTGTTATGTGTGTCCCAGTTTGGAGTGTGTTTACACATGTGGTTGGTTTCATTGGTGTGTGTCAGTATGAGCTGTGTATATCATTAATTGTTTGTATCACTCCTTATCATGTATGCACATAACATTGGGAGCATATGTTGCGGTGTGTTTGGGTTCTATGTTGAATACAGGTGCGTTGGCCTGTATCACGTATGTGCATGTGTGTATCAATTGATATTGAATGGTGGAGTTTGTATCAGTTAGGTCTGTGTCATGTGTTGGTCAGTGTGTGTGTGTGTGTATTGGTGTAGGGTGCCGGTGCTGTGTGCTTTTTTTGTGTGTGCTGGTAAGTGTCAAGTGCATGTGCCAAGTGCATTGTGTTTTATGTATTTGTCTTGGCTGGTGTCATGTGTGCATAAAAAAATTGAGGCAAGTAATAAAGAACTGAATACAAGACAAAAAGTAAGTTGTCAAGTTGACACATTCTATATCTCCCTGGACACTGTCTATTTACATTGAAAGCTTTTTGGGGAACAGCTACACTTCTGCAAACAATCTGGCACATTTCAGCATAGATGTAATGGCTAGAGGAAATGAGGGTGACATATCCCTTGCAACTTTTTATTCTCATGTTGACTTCTCCCTCAATGTGGCTGCAGGACTGAGGTATTTTCAGTGCAGGTCCCATCCAACCTTTCTTATGTGGTTGCATCTCTGCACTTTGGGTGCTTCAGAATTAATAAATAATACTGTATTAGTGATGGTGCACATATGGTCTAAATTGGTGTAGAGTATGTGTGTACAACGTGCTGGTGTCAACTTGTGTGTAGCAGTTTTATGTATACACGTATGAGTCAATATATATGTACGTTATATTGGTTGGTGCTGAGTACTTGTAGGGTGTGTACATTGTGTGTGGTTGTGTGTTGTTCGGCATGTAAATTCACACTGTCAATATTGTGCGTCATTCATGGTATGTCTATACTGCAATCACCGGTTGTAATTGTAGCTTGTGTAGACATATCTGAGCCAGATTTAACTAGCTAGCTTGGATACCAGAGCAATGAACATGTGGCAGTGGAGGTTAGCCGCTGAATAATTACCCAGGGTTCTGTGCAAGCCTGTCCAGACCACGCTGAAGCCTGTGCGGCTGCAACTTCACTGCCCTGATACCTGAGCTAGCTAGACTGAAGCTAGCTCACGTATGTCTACACAAGCTGCAATCACACCCCGTGATTGCATTATAGACATACCCCCAGATCAGCTGGAGTTGGTGTGCGTCAGTCAATGTCCTGTATTAAATGTTACTTGAAGTTTGTGAATTATGATGTGGTGTGGGTATCACTGTTGCCAGTTAGAGGTTGGTTGGTGGGTGTTGGTCATTGATATTGTGCATGAGATAGTTGGTGAGTGTTAGTTGGTGACACGTTGCACATGTGTGTCAGCTTTTAGGTCAGTCATTGTTATGTGTGTACATGTGAGCCACTGCGTGCATTAGTGTTGGGATGGGAATCGAGGCTCTGAAAGGGGTGTTGAGTGGGTCAGTGGGGACCTAGTTAATGTTGCGATAATGGCTGGGGAGAATCAAACTGGTGATGGGTTGGGAGCAGGGAGACACTTTTCCATCACACCTCCCTCTTTGCTCCACTGGTCCCCTTTCTCTCACCTGTGTTGCGTTCCACCCAAGCTGGGGATCCTGTCAGGATGGGAGCAGCCCACCCCCAACGTGCTGGGGCGGGGGGCAGCCAGAACAGGGGAGAGCCCCTGCGCCGGGTCGGGGGCCTGACAGAACAGGGGGCAGCTCCCTGCACTGGGCTGGGGGGAGCCTGTCAGGAGGCAGGGGGCTGTCAACACAGGGGCCCGTCAAGACAAGGGGCAGCCCCCCCATGCTGAGGGCCTGACAGAACAGGGGGCAGCCCACCCCTGCCGTGCTGGGGGGAGCTGTCAGCACAGGGGCCTGTCAGGACAGGGGGCAGCAGCCCCGTCCTACTCCCCGCTGGGGTCCGAGTCCAGTCAGAACAGGGGCATCCCGCACACCGTGCTGTGGGGCTGTCAGGCCAAGCCCCCCGTGCCGGGTCCCGGGTCCTATCAGGACATGAGGCCAGGACAGCCTTCCACCCGCCCCGACCGTAGTGAGGTTCACGTCAGGGCAGGGAGCTGCCCGGGGGTCACGCCGGGGCAGGCCGCCAGCCCACTGGAGGCTGCTCCCGCCTCACAGAGCAGTGGTCAAACGACGTTTCTCCACCCAGACCTCTCTCCTGCGCCCGCCCGCATACGTGTACCAGCGGCGTGGATTACGGCGCTCCGCAGAGTCGCGGCGCGGGCGGGCCCCTTTGCTTGTCGCGTTTCGGATCCGGGTTCGTGCGGGCGGGGCTGCTCCCTCCTCCCCGCTCCCTGCTCCCGGCCAATGAGCGGCGTCCACATGCTGCGGCCGCGAGAGGGGCAGCGGCGAGCTGGCTCCGATAAATTCTATTAGAGCAGCCGCCGCTGGCTCAGCTCGCGCTGGGGCGGGAACGGAGCAGGAGGCAAGCAGGGCACCGGCTAGCCGGAGACAGCGGCCTAGGCTACACCGCCCGGTGGAGAGCGCCGGGAGCGGATCCCACCCCGCCGGGCAATTCACGCTCTCCCCTAGAGGGACGAGTGGGCACGACCCCCAGGGCAGCTACGCCCCCTAGAGGAGACAGGGCATTTCATACCCCTCAGCGGAGAGCGGGGGGTGATAAATTACCTTATTCCCCCTCGTAGCGGCGAAAGGGACAGTTACTCTCCGGCTGAGGAGACAAGAGGACAGCTCAATTCCCTCCACGCGCGCCCCACAGTGCCGGTGGGGGCGGTTGTTACCCTAGCACCCCCCGCAGTACCTCTCGGAGCGGGGTGAGGGCAGGCATTGTCTGAGAGAAGGGGGGGTGACTTTGTCTCGTGGCCCCCAAACGGCTGCCGGAGAAGGGGGGGTGCAGCGGAGCCCCTGCTCTAGCTCCGTGAGAGGAAGGGGGGGGGGTCGTGTTCCCGAGGGGGTGGGAGGGGGTGGGGGCGAGTCCCCCGCCGGTACGCAGCGAAGGGGGGGGGGCGTGCAGGTGCCGTGACCGGAGGGGAGCGCTCCTCGGATCCCTATTGTTGTCTAGGTCTATGGTGAGAATCACCCGGGGGCGGTTGGGGACCCATAGGGGGAGAGAGCGAGGCACCGAGCGGGCTGAGTGGAGGGTTTGCTGCTGTTCCTGCTGCTGCTGCTGAGAAGAAGGAAGCGGGGGAGAGACACCATTTGCCGGCCCGGCCATGGAGAACGCTCACACCAAGACGGTGGAGGAAGTTTTGGCTTATTTCGGCGTGAACGAGAGCACTGGGCTCAGCCTGGAGCAAGTCAAGAAGCTCAAGGAGAGATGGGGCGCCAACGGTAGGTGAAGCAACCCCCACGCCAGCCGCTGCCGGGGGGATGCTGCTGCGTGCTGGGATCCTCTTTCTCCCTCTCATCCTCCCTAGGGCCCTGTTTCAAGGCCTAACCTATGTGTGCAAAGCCGGCATCTGACTCAGGACCCGGAATAGGAGCGAGGGAGAGAGAAGATGGCTGACTTGAACTCCACCTCGTGGGTTTCTTTTATACCCTAAGCGGTCAGGGCTGCTTAAGCAAGGAGGGTGCCACCTCCGTTTCCTTTTACCTTGATGAGAAATAAGCTTCTATCATTAAAGAAAGCACATGATTTTTTTTAAAGAGCCCCTTTTATTAGGTACTTGACCTTCATTTTCTTCGCTATTTCCAACCCTCCCACGCAAACCTCCTTCTTTTTCTTTTGAAAGAAGGTGGGCTTTTTTGGCTTAAAAAAATTGTTCAGA